ACAACAATTAGCCAGGCATGGTGGCATGTGCCTGAGGTCCCAGCTACTCAGGAGGCTGAGGTGGGAGGATCGCTTGAGTTCAGGTGTTTGAGGCGACACTGAGCTATGATTGCACCACTGCACTCTAGCCTGGGTGACACAGTGAGACCCTGTCTGTTAAAAAAAAAATTATATAAAAATTTGTGATGAAGTAAAACATTAAAGTTTTTAGTTGTGGGGACATCTTTATGTATGTGTGTGTAAACTGTACCATACTAGGTTACAACTTGTGTATTTTAGCAGAGAGGAGGAAAATAACCACCAAAGCATTATGAAGTCTGCTGTCCTACGTGTCCTCTGAAGGAAGGTTAATAATTTAGGCATAAGGAATTATTGAAAAATTGTATGTCTCTATTTGCCATTTTTATAAGGGAACTTCTTACACCCATCCTATATTTATATAAACGCTCAAACACATCCTACATTTCCCAGGTATATGTTTGCTAATTATCTATTTCATTCTCCATATGGGTGAACTTTGCTTTACATAACAAAATGGATTCCTGAAAAAAATCTACAATTTTAAAATAATTTCCATGTAGTATTAGAACTTGCTAAATAAACTGTAATAAGCTATTTTGAAAACTAAGAATGCTTTTGTGAAATGAATAATTTCTTTGATTTTCAAACAGTTTTATTAAAGCACACATCTAAAATTTATAAGTAGATTAGGATTGCCTAGAACCAATAATTGTAGTTAATAAAAATAGAACAGATAAACTCCAATTTACAATAAACAATACAAAACAGGAATGACTCATGGACTGCTTATTGATTGACTATATTCAGAAGCCCTGAATATATGTATTATTGGTATTTTATGGCTTTAATTAAGACAATTGTCTCTTATGAAGTACTATAAAGTGCAATATTAAAAAATTAAAAAACCCAAAAGGCATCCATTGTCCTTCAGTTTTATTCTGATGAGAAGAATTGGGGATTTGTTTAATTAAATGGCAAGAAGTTACCTACCCTTAATTCATGCATGTAATTTCATCCTTAAAATAATTTTATTCAAAGTTTCAGACTTTTTTTACTTTTCTATTTTTTATGACATGATTTAAAAAATTAGTATTTTCTTTTGGTTAGCTGAGTATTTTGGAGGCCTGTTAGTCTCCAAGGCCTTAGTTACTTACGGATCCATTATGAAGGAATATGCAACCCAATATGTAAGAATGTAGAAACAAATTCCCATCCTTTTGGTGAACCCTAGTCCATGAGATCAATCAGCAGCTTTACAAGTTCTATCCAACCTACCACACAAAAGGATGTAAACACACTGTAGTACTGGTTAATAAGTGGAGATCCAACCATTTACCCCAGTTTCATTTTTAAAATAAAAACATTGATTCCTCTTGATAAATTAGTGAGTGTAAGTGCAGGCCCAGAGCTTTGGAGTAATCTAAAGTGGTGTCTTCCCGATTGTGAGTTCTTTGTGAGTCTGAGATTATGACCTAATGACCTTAGAAACAGTTTGTGACCTTGACTTCACCAGGGCTTCATGGTCATGCTGCACCCAGTGTAGTTCAACACTATTCAGACAGTGATTATGATTAGTCATAAGAACTATGACTAATCATTTAAGAACAATACAAAGAATTTAAAAAGGCTTAGTAGAGAGAAGCTATAAAAATTAAGAGGGTTAAAGACTCAAAAATCTAAAGATAATTTTAATGAAAATAGGTAAAGAGTCACATAGTGGTGACTTCTAACTATGGGGCAAAGAGTGAAGAGTGCCCAGATGCAGTTACTTTCTGCCAACAAAAAAACAGGTTCATTAAGGGGGGGGGGTTTGGGTTAACTTGGAGGAAGGCTTTTTCTGATGCTGATGGTTGTTAAACTTTGAGCTGGGTCACACCAGCATCTATGCTGGGATCTCCCCCGTAAGAGGATTATCCTTTGGATTAGCGTGATAGACTAGACAAACCCTCTTAATGGAATTACATCTTTGGTGGGAGCCTATACAAGCTCCATGGCATTCTTTCAGACTTAGATATTTGTCTGGTTTTAAAAATTTTATTAGGTTTTCCAGCCTGTCAATGAATGATCTAGTAGAAGTGCTTTGGCTTAGATAATATGGTGCCCTACACAGTCCCTCACTATTTGTACACTAATTTGAAAAGAGTTGCCTATCCCGTCGTAATTGCAAGGTCATTTTTGCCTCTCAAATGCTGTCTGACTTGTGGATTTGCTTGTCCTTTGTAGCTGTTTCTTACTCTTTCTTAAGAAATCTGTCCCTAACCACATTAAGGACCTCCATGGAGTTTGGGTGGTTCTGAGCAAGGCTGGTGTCCCACGTGTGAGGAAGGCATGCAAAATGCCAGTGTGTACATTAGCTGGGGGGAGTCAGTGTGGAAAACAGAGTCCTTCTAGAGCAAACATGAGTGTGCCTGTGATTTCTACAGATGCCTACAAGCTCCTGGTGATTACCTGCCACAACCTGTGCAGGTCCAAAGCTCCCGGTGAAAAAGGAATATTGCCATGGTGTAATAAGAAGTAATAGAGTTGAGCTGGCTGTGTAGTAGTTCCCTTATTGCTTTTCTTGTTTGCTATATATTTAAAAAATATGAAGCTGCGAGATTAAAAATGAAACACAAAGATAGAAGCAGAGGCAGAGTCAGGGAGCCAACTGTAAATAGATGGTGGAATAGGGCAGGGTTACTTTTCTTTCCCAAGGTCTTCCTGAGACGGTTTATTTTTTATTTTTTTAAAAAAATCTAAAACCGTATATGGGCTCTTGTAATTGGCTAAACATAGCCTGATATTTGTAACCATTTCAAACTACATAGGGATATATTTCAATGTGATACTTGGTTTCTTAGAATCCTAGGAGATTAATATCTCCTTTCTTCCCTTTCCTTATTCTATTTTTTTCCCTAACCCACTCTTAATGACAAGGCCTTATTTAGTAATTAAAGACAATATTGTTGAAAGAGGTTATACGGGTTGAGTAGGTATCTTTTAAAAATACTAAGCTGAATGGCTAAGGAAGATGTGGTGCTTAGCAAGAGTGAGCACTGACTTCTATGCATGCTTTCAGGAGAGAGTTGTTTTTTCCAGAAATCACCCTAAGAACAGCTTCACTTTCTTCTGGAACAGAGCTGCCACCTATAATAGGGCCACCTACTTACTGGAAAAAAAAATCTGTCCAGGTGCAAGAAAGCATAGCATCCACATAATCTTGTGTGTGTGTAGGAACGTGGGTGTGTGTTTGGCAGATGTGGGGAGGAAAGCACACGGACATGTTCTGAAATGCTTGCCATCCGACCCATGTTAGATAGTCCAATGCAGTAATTTCTGCAGAGCATTTAACACAACTTCCATCTTCTTCAACTCTATCTGGCCAGCCACTCTACCAGGTGTCATTTCTTTGGTCAACTTTTTGTTAAGGTGGTTTGGAGGTGGGCTCCCTTTGTAGCTCACCTCTTCTCACACTGTTCCAGAGGCCTTTAAAAGCTATGTGCAGTGGTGGGGAGTTTGCCAACTCTCTCCCTGCCCAGGAATGGATGTACATTAACATTGTCAAATGTCTAATCAGTGAGGCAGCTGTGTTTTGCTGAAAGGGCTCCAAACCACCTGATTCATGTCTTCCCTATAAAATAAATTATAATGGCCCTTGTCAGGTGACACCTGTTAGAAGCCTTACAAAGCATTTTCCCTGAATATAAAACAGTCTCCGCCTCTTTTTATAATCTTCTGGGCAAGGCTTTAGGACATTCTGCATCTGCCGAGAGTATAAACAACCCTATCCCTTAGTCCCTGCATATATCATTGCTCTGTCACTGACTCAGTTTAGGTCCTGGGAAGCTGCATAAACACCATCTAATCTTCAGCTTCAGTTCATCAGGATCTGGTCAGGTGCAGAGGGCAGCTGGAGATGGCACGGGCATTCTCAGATGCAATTTAGGAGTTTCTATTTGGGAATTGTCAGTTTGAGCCAAGCTACTCTGCTGCCTTGGAAGTATGGGGGAGGGCAGGCGGTGACAGCAAGCAAGACCTGCTTGGTTTGCTGTGAGTAAATGAAATCATTTGCGTGCAACTTGTTTACTGTAGATGGATTAATACAATGTTGGCTCTTGAATTGTTGATATCTTTTATACCCTGCTCCAGAGAAGCAAAGAGAGTATCTGCAGTCTAAATTTTTGCTCTGTATTTTCTGTTGTGTATTCTTTGCCTCTATATCAGCATTAGGGATATGGCTGACTGAGTTCCTTAAGGCTATAAATCGATATTCTTAGGGTGGGAAAATATGGGTACATAACGTGAATATTTGTAGGTATACGTGCATGGAACAAACAACCTTATGAAACCAGGAAGAAATGTTCCCTTTGGTTTGTGTGCATGACTTTCCTCTTCCTTGACTTTGGCAAACTTGATGCTCCCTGCTTTAGAATCCTGAATGTGATGGGGTCAGAGGGTGATGATGTAAGTCATATTATATGTGTACATATAGATCTGGTATAAAGATATATATATATTTATATATGTATATACACAGGCATGCAGGAAAGGAGTTAGAGATGTCCTGTTTTAGAAACCATGATGTGGAAAGTTCTTTCTTATAATTATGCCAATGATTTGAATGGTTTAAAGACCCATTGTTGAACTCTGTACACACCTCTCTGAATTTACCCTGGCTCAACACATAACCACTTAGACAGAAATGAAGGGAAAGCAAGGGCAGGCTGTGAAATCACTTGTGTCCCATCCAGTGAGGGAGCAGTGCTATTGTAAGTCAGGCTCAGTGCACATGACTGATGTGGGAACGGGGCTTGGAAATTTTGTCTTCTCAAATGCAACTTCACATGAAAGACCACAACACTTCCTGTGAAGTGGAGCTCTGAGACAAGCAAAGGGCACCATAGCTGCTTGGATCATTCTTCACTGTGAGCTGGGAATAAATGGGAGGGAGTGAGGAAGCAGGGGGAGGATCAGGAATAAGAAGAGGGCGGCACCAGGTCTCCTTCAACTTTTGTTTTACATAATCTGTTTGCAGTTGAGTCAGTCACCTATTTAAACCTTGTTTCAAACAACACACCGGTCAATAATATAAAATTCACACAATAACCAACTTCGCTGCCCTTCAGAAAATATACAGGGAAAACAACTGGAGTTTTTTAACGTTAAAGTTCACTTCCTCATTCTTTCACTCAAAGGAAGCAGCACAAATTCTTGCCCCAGTACGAAGTCCTGACCTTGATGAATGCGATTCACTCCCATTAGGTGGCAGGTTCCACTGAGTGCCTCTATTGGATGGTGTTTCAATAGCTTGGCAGGCACTGACACACATCTGAAGGCCCCGCTCTGCCGAGTTGGAGAGACGTGAAAACCAGCCTCCGACTGGCAGCCATCTTGATTTCTTGTTTTCCCAGGGGGCCTCGGGTTTGAAGTGCTTTCTGCTTCTGGGTGAAGAGCAGTGATGGGCATTTCCTGTTATTGCCATGCTCTGTGGGGTGAGCTGGGGTTTTCTGGAAGGAATACTGAGCTTGATCTGGGGCTGTCAGGTTACCTTTCCTCTTATTCGGCTGTGAGTTCTGCATCCTATCTTCCTATGTTAAGAGGTATGTGGTCACAAGAAAATCATAGCAGGCGTCAATGAGAGAATAGATTGGAGATAGGAACACATACGGTGAAATTTCCCATATGCTGTATGTACCGACTTAAGACATAGGATGGGTACAGAATAATGAACCATCCTTGATTCAATTTTTCAACTGATTTTAAAGAAAGCATGACTTGGAGAAATGAAAAGTGCTCTATATAGTTTTCCACTGATTTAGTTTGCCTATTTTTTCCACCTTGCTGGCTTTATTTTCTACTGACATAGATCTGAGAAGTCACACAAGGTGTCATGCAGAACTTGGGGGCATTGAATGCATGAAATTAAAATATTCCATGTAATGTTGAGCAAAATCAAGAAATCAAATTGTTAGAGGATTAGCTTGAAACCAGTGTAAGGAAGCTGTCAAATACAGTGTACTCTAAAACCTAGACAGAATCCCAGATAAGGTCCTGATGGAAGAAGAGACATAGATGTTACAAGAACTTGAACCAAAGTCTGGTCCTGGTACAACTCGACCTAGCACTTGGAAACCTTCCTGGGGTGCACTGAGTGTGTAAATGCCTTTCCAAGCATCTCTAATCTGTCTCAACCCAAGCAGTGCTGATCAGAGTTAATTTAGTGCTATTGGGAATAATGATTTCTTCAGACACTAAAGCCCTTTATGACTACATTGGAAAACGTTTTAAAGAACTATGCCCTTTCATCCCATTAGGTGGCAAGGCCCACTAAGCACCTTTACTGGATGGTTTCTTATCACACATCTAGGCTCTCTTGGCAGCCCTTAGCATCAAAATATATCTAAATGACAATCACAGCTAAACTTACCCCCCTTCTTTTGATGATGATGGGACATGCACTGGAAAAATACAGGTTGAGTTTATATAGTCTTGCTGTCCTAGAAAAAGCACTAATTTGGTTTGTAGTCATATTTTCTACTTGCATGCTGGGACAATATAAGAACAAAACAAAACAAAAAGCCCAACCCTGGTTACCTCCCTGCTTCCCCAAACCAATGTCCACCCAGCCTAGGTTTTTAACCTCTGTCTGTCCTAAGTACCCTGACTTTCTTGGTCAGGGTACTCAGTTGGAGGTGGGCAGATGGTCTCCCTGTTTGGCTTGTGGGAATGTTTTGGAAGGCTCAATTCAGGGCCCTACAGACCTTCTCCACTAAGCCCTCCTCCCTGCAAACTATTTCCCTGAACCATCTACCTTACTAGGCAGGATCCCAGTAAGTCCAAGGCAGGCTGAAGGTCACAGCAATGCTACCTTTGTCTACTGGTTCCATTAGTTCTCCTCTTGCACTTAAGAGGTAAAGTCCAGACTGCAGGTTGATGCCCCTCTTCAAATAAGTACTATAAATATACTAGAGCTATCCCTGAAAAAGATGCATTTGTACTTTTATATATATATGATTATATATATATATAAAATTTTTCTATTTATTTACAGGTATGTACTAATCTATAGGTATGGAAGGAGAGGTATAGTACAGGAACAGGCAGGATTTGTGTGTTCATGTGCGTATATTTATAATATGTATATTTATAGGTGTATATATATAGCCTCTGTCGTTGTTTGCATCGAATGTACCTCCGACCAGCGAGGAGTACCTGTCAGTGGTGAATAGGGAGAAGCCCCATATTGACGGTTCTCTTTGTCTCTTACATGAAGTCATTTGAGTAGGCAAGGTGGAAGCAGCCTGTGAAGTGAATGGGTCCAGTGTGAATCCATCTCTCCTCAAATCCATCAAGGAGGGACACTTGGTACCCAGGGCTGTGTGCCAGCTGCCTCTTCTCAAGAGGTCAAGGAGCCCAGAGCCGAGAGTGGGGAGGGATCATTCACGCTGCTGGTGCAAGATATGGCTTTTCCTACTAGATGGAGACAGGGCATGTAAGAATTCTGTCTTCCAGGAGAACGCTCACCACCAGGAACACAAAGTAGAGGCCAAACATGATGAAGCCCAGGATTTTGTTCATTCGCCACTTGCAGAGGGCAATGGAGAGGATGACGAAGAGCAGCATGATGAAGAGAAGGACGATGGCACAGAAGAGGCCATTGCTGCTGACAGCCACTGGCTGGAATCTGTGAATGACCGTGTACAGGAGCCAGGGCAGTGGGAGCCTGTGCAGGAGGGAAGCAGGGCAGAGGGGAGTGGGAAGACAAGGGGGGAGTAGTCAGACACGTTGAAGAAGGCAAACAACCTACTACTTTCTCAGGAACTCTAATCTGTGTGTCTTGTTAGGTTCACTATGACTCGGGCACGGTTGGCCCAGGAAACCACATAAGGAAATAAGACTTTAAAAACCTTTATGTTCTGACTGAATTTAGAGCAGGGAGAACAGTTAGACAACATCAAAGACATGACTGCCGTCGGTGATTTCTGCATTTGTGAATTTGATTGGAAATTATTTTGTTTCCTTCCTAGTTGAGATTAAAATGTTGCTTTCAGTCCTAAAAAGGTGAATTGCAGGATTTGCACAGGGTGAAGGGAGCAGGCAGGTGCAAAAAAGGTAGAGAAATGAGTGGTGAAAATGAGGAAAAAATTAAAAAATGGAGACAAAGAATAGCAATGACTTAAATAACAATCTAAAGGCAAGTGAAATTAAATGACGGTGATGGGGGCCATGATACAATATCATAGTCTGAAGTTTATTCTGGGAAAGATGTTGACAATTGTTTGATGAAAAATTGGTCTTTTTGAAAGATTTAAGGAAGGCAGTATCTTACATTTGTGATGTGTTTTTTGAAAAAACTTTATTATATATTTTTATACCTGTTTTCTCCCTTGTCATTCAGCTTTTAAAATCTGAGGATCTCTTGTGTTTCCTATCCAGAGTGGTGATTCTGAAAGCCCTCAGGAGAGCTAGTTTCCACTACACCACAAGTGTTGACTAGGACTCTGAGAAAGGAAGATGCTGGAAGTGCAGGGCTCAGGGGACATGGGCATTTCCAAGTGGCTGATGATAGGCGTCTGGCTGTACCCATCAGCCTAAAGACAGCATCGTGGCTAAGGAGATACCTGCTTGGCTGGCTGAGCTTTCTGAGTGACAAAAGCTAAGGGAGGTTCAGTTTTGGCCTAGTCTCAGGGTGTGGAAGAGGAGGTACTCTTTTGAAACATTACGTTCTCCAAAGGAAGAGAGAAATAATGAGGGTGAAAGGGGCAGTGAGTTTATAGATCTGCCTCCTATGCTGGAGAGAGGGAATTGGAAGGCAGAGCCCATGCATTGTGGATCTTTGAAATTCTAGGCCTGGCACATGCAGCCCCTAACTGGGTGCATATATTAACCTGGGCCAAGCTGAAGTGATCGATGTTACTGCCTTGTGGGGATCAGTACAGGCACTTTGTCCACTAGAGCCTGGCCAGGAGGGGCTTCCTTCTGTGAACTTGTCAGGGAGGGGTTCCCAGCCTGGGAACAAGGGGTAATTCCAGTTCTTAGTGGGAGGGGGCAGCCTTGGCACTGGGGTTAGCAGTGAAAAGTCAGAAAAGGGAAGGGGAGGGCCTAAGAGTGGCGGTGATGCCAAACTGAGGGCCGTTGACAGGGACTTGGTCTGGGAAACTCTTTTTCCATCTCGTGAAGAAAAGACCAAAACCAATTTTATTCTTATTACACACACACACACACACACACACACACACACGCGCGCGCGCGCGCTTCTAGTGAAGTTGAGTTTAATAGCACTACAAATGGCTTGCAAAAACCTTTCGGGGGAAAATGACACTTTTCATGCCTTTTGGTCTACCAATTCTTTTTTTTTTTTTTGAGACAGAGTCTCGCTCTGTTGCCCAAGCTGGAGTGCAGTGGCGTCATCCTGGCTCACTGCAAGCTCCGCCTCCCGGGTTCACGCCATTCTCCTGCCTCAGCCTCCCGAGTAGCTGGGACTACGGGCGCCCGCCACCGCGCCCGGCTCATTTTTTGTATTTTTAGTAGAGACGGGGTTTCACCGTGGTCTCGATCTCCTGACCTTGTGATCCGCCTGCCTCGGCCTCCCAAAGTGCTGGGATTACAGGTGTGAGCCACCACGCCCGGCCTGGTCTACCAATTCTATTGTCAGGAATTAAGTATAAAAATAACTGAAAATGCAGATTAAATTTTACTCAGAAAATGATCATTTCAGTGTTATTTTGAATAATAAAAAACTGAGTATCTCTAATAACCTCTAATAACAGGGAACTAGTTAAATAGCAAATAAGTAAATGTAATGTTATATAGCTGTTTAAAAATCACAAGCTTAGAATGCTACAGGAAAACAGCCATAATACAATTGTAAGCTAAAAATGAAAGATGCATACATACACACAAATAGCAATGTAATTTCAATCATGTGAAATACACAAGAATTTCAAAAGGGTGGTGAGTTATTGATCTTTAAGCTTTATTTTTCTTTTCTTTTTTCTTTTCTTTCTTTTTTTTTTTTTCTGAGACGGAGTCTTGCTCTGTCACCCAGGCTGGAGTGCAGTGGCGCGATCTCAGCTCACTGCAACCTCTGCCTCCTGGGTTCAAGCGATTCTCCTGCCTCAGCTTCCTGAGTAGTTGGGACTGCAGGTGCATGCTACCATGCCTAGGTAAGTTTTGTATTTTCAGTAGAGACGGGGTTTCAACATGTTGGCCAGGATGGTCTCAGTCTCTTGACCTTGTGATCCGCCCGCCTCGGCCTCCCAAAGTGCTGGGATTACAGGTGTGAGCCACTGCGCCCTGGACCTTTATTTTTATTTTCTATATCTGTGAGTATATGTTAATTTCAGAAGCATAAAGAAAATGCTGGCAAAGCTATGAAGAAACTTTTACACTTAATATATTGCTAATGACATCACTCAATATATTGTCAAAAATGTTGTAAGCTGGTGTAATTTCTTGGGAAAGAACTTTTTGGAAAAGAAATATACAAAATACATCGATAGCCATTAAGATGTTCAAAATATTTAGTTCATTAATACTGCTTAAAGGAATTTATCCTAACAAAACAATTGAAAGAGGTTTTTCTTCATAAAGATGTTCATCAAAACTCCCATAGCAGAAAAATTAAAAAAATCCTATAAAAGAAAAGGAAAAAGCCACTGAAAAACAAGAGGGAAAATTTGAAGCCACAAAATGTTAGTTATGAGCTATGAAGAGTCTTAGAAAAATGGTTATGAATTACTAATTTATTCATAGATGGCTCTTTATGCCAGGCATATAGTGCTTTAAAATGGAAAAATAAAAGCCTTCCAAGCAGATAAAACTGAATATTTTACTAAGAAAACTTTGTGAAATACATGGAAGAAAACAAACAAAAAAGAAGTGTTGTTTCTGAGTGATAGAATTAGGAGTGACTTTTCTTTAAACTTCCATTTGTGTGTGTTTTTATATAATTTAAGAATAATGAACAAAAAGCATTTTGTAATTCTTCATAATATACTATAGAACATTACTATTATTATTATTTTTTTTTTTTACAAGAGATTGATCAAGAACACTACTATGAATATTTGGACCACAGAATTGAGAAACACTGTTTAGGCATTCATTCATTCATTCACCCATCCATCCATCCATCCATTCCACAAACATGTGTCAAACAACTACCAGTGACAGCAATGCAGTAAGCTCTGAGGAGTTCCTGCTCTTGGGGATGCACAGTCTAGTAGGCAGATATACCAGGACAAAGAGTAAGACGTACAGAGAGTTTATAGGGACAAGAGCCTCTAAGTCGGGCCCAGGGGAATCAGAAATCAGGATTTAAGTTGTCACTGAAAGGATAAGTCAGAGTTTTCCAGTCAGACAAGCATGGAGAGCTCTTCAGTGGGGGCTCACGTGTGATTGAGACAGTGGACACTCACAGCAGAGTTTTATGCAGAGAGTGCTACAATTGATAGCACAGACTGTTTGTTCAAATCCTAGCTACTGCATTTAATAGTTGTGTGAACTCTGGGCCTTTCAGTATTTTTATCTGAATAATAGGGGTGATACTACATACTTCATAGGATTATTGTGTGGTTTAAATGGAGAAAAATGTACACACAGTGCACATGGTAGACACTGTAGGAAAAACAATATGGTAATGAAAAGGTGCAAGACAGAACAATATTTAAGATATTCAGTGAGAAAGTAGGTGCTTTCAGTAAGGTTCCAGACTCAAGTGTTAGGAGCCCAGTACTCCAGGGAACGTAAGGATAATGTCTTATATCTTATTTTCTCAGGGTACTGATGTTCGAGTTTGTCAGACTACTTTTACTTTTGACAAGTTAAATAAAATGGTAGAGATCACAGCACCCCAAACCCCAATCTGATTCACTTTAGTGATTATTCATATTGAGAGCTCACGTTTGTTTCATTGTAAGAACAGATCTCACCTTCTGGCTTTAGAAAACCTAGAATATCTTCACCAGTGCAGATAAAGAAATGGTAATGCCAAGATTCTCAGTATTTTCCAAGGAAGGATACAAGATATGTATGGTGGGCCTATGTTTGTCCCAATCTACCTTAAAATCCAAATCTCACCTTAGGCTGGTGGGGACTTGAATTAAAATTAGAATGTGAACATTCTTATCATGAAGCTATCACATGATATCTCAGTTCCACTTGAATGTTGTTATATAAGTGAAATTCTCCCAAAATATTTCCTAAAATATCCATTCTGTATGTAGGTATGTGTTTCTGCTTGTCTAGGGATGACTTATTTTTCATTAAGTTCTCTGAAATGAGAAATAGAATTGGGGAAATGAAACGGTATTCTCAGTCTTTACTCTGTATTGGTATTGGTTAGTGGTAGGCTCAGAGATCCTGGTCATGTCTCTGCAGCTTCTAAGAAGACAAAGACACTGGTGGAGCTGGTGTGCACCTTTGTAGAACTATCTCTACTCACCCTACAGTGATGTCAAAAATGTTGCTTCCAACAGAGCTGGACACAGCCATGTCCCCTAACCCCTTCCGGGCCACTATGACACTGGTGATAAGATCAGGGATGGAGGTCCCAGCAGCCAAGATGGTCAGGCCCATAATCTCTTCACTGATGCCGATTGTCTCTCCAACCTAAATGTCAGGACAGGAATACATATCTCAGTGTTTGAAGTTACAAAATCATAAAAACCACAAAAATTTCAATGCAACCTCTTTTTAATGCATTTCTATACTGTGCTATGCAAAGTGCTGAGATGATAAAGATGAATAAGCCACAATCATTGCTAATAGAGTTTATATTTTTAGGATATTCAGACCCAAGGCATCAGGAATGTTCCCATGAGAAACAGATAATCTCCGATAAAGAGCTCTAGAGGGCTAGAGTGCAGCGTTTATATGGTGCTTTCTAAGACTGAGTCAGGGAAGCTCCAGGATTAGAGGTAGAAAAGTCAATTGGCCATGGAATCTAGGGGCAGTGGCACAAAGTCCTGTGGCAGATTTGCCCTTCAACTTACTACCAAAACCAAGGACTGACACCCAAGGTCTCAATTTTCCTTTAGCATCTCCTAGTGTCTATAACCCATTCTTAAACACTTCAAGATTCTATCATTTCCACTGGAAACTCGATGCTGGGTGTTTTGGGTTTTGGTAACACACAGCAAAGCAGCTGTGGAGAAGCAAAAGCCAGAAAATCAGAGGACCTGGATCCAAGATCTGGCTCTGGTATGTGTTAATTTCTTGACATTTTGCTTACTGTACCAATTGTACAGTGTCTTTGATCCTCACTTTGCCATCTATAAACTCGGGATAATAATACCTACTTTAGCAGGTACTTGTGAGGACTAAATGAAAATTTGTGAAAGACTCTTTGTAAATAGTACATTATTATTGAAAAGCAAGGGGGGAGGGTGGTTATTAACTTTTTTTTTTTTTTTTGGTCTTTGTCTTTGCCTTTTAAGACTGATGAGTTCTATTTTGAAAGGTTGGTCTAGCCTCAGGTGGAAGCTCCTCCATTCTCTTGAGCAATTTGTCTCCTTGGGACTTTCTAGAAAAACTTTCTATTTTTATTTTTAGAGATGGGTTCTTGCTCTGTTGCCCAGGCTGGAGTGAAGTGGCACAGCCATAGCTCACTGCAGCTTCAACCTCCTGGGCTCAAGCGATCTTCCAACTTTAGCCTCCAGAGTAGCTGGGACCACATGTGAGCACTGCCACACCTGGCTAATATTTTTTAGAGATGGATCTTACTATGTTGCCCAGGCTGGTCTTGAACTCCTGGCCTCGAGATCCTCCTGCCTTGGCCTCCCAAAGTGTTGGGATTACAGGTGTGAGCCACTGTGCCTGGCCTCTTGGGACTTTTAAAACCTATACATGTTTTGCTGGTGTTGGTGAACTGTGGCTCTGAAAACCTTCAAGATAATGCTTTCCATCTGGTTTCCGATAGGTTATCTGATGATGTCCAGCATTTTTTGAAAAAATTTAAAGGGCCAAAATAGCACATAAGGATAAAGGCTTTTAGGAAATAGAATACACTCATTTCTTAATCCTTTTTAAAAAATTCTTATTTTTATAAGAAATAGCGTGGTTCCTACTAGCTTAAAAGCATATTTTTATGTTGATGATCATGCCTACTCCAGAGCCTGATGAGCTTAACTAGCTTACCCTGTCCTCATGGGACACAGAATCACTGCTCCCCATTAGTAAGTTCCATATATGCAGGATCCTCACCTTGGTCACTGTGATCTCCCTAATTGACAGAACATACACAGCCTGGTACATGGCAGACTCTTAGTACCAATTTGCTGAGTAAGCAAATCAATCCGCATACATAGGTGATTTCACCAGCATGTTTTTCTGCTGATTCTTCTAGAAAAAGTTCAATAAGAGTTTTGCACAGGAGTGCCCTATTTGAGCAAAATATTCTCAAAAGTTGTCAATTGTTTGTTAGATTTGGAGTGAAGCATTGTCAAAGACTGAGAAGATGCTGACTAAACAATTGTCACTGTTGGCAAGTTCCAATCTATTTAGAACATTCTTAATAATTAAATTCTTGGAGGGAATTCTAAAGTAGCGACTGTTTCAAAAATTATTTGCTGGGCGCAATGGCATGCACTGTAGTCGCAGCTACTTGGGGGTTGAGGCACAAGGATCTCTTGAGCCTGGACATTCGAGACCAGACTGGGCAACATAGCAAGACCTTGTCCCCAAAATATAAACAAAATAATTCATATTTGGAGTTTGAACACTACTATATACAGGAAAACATAGGAATTGAAGAAGAGAAGGATGGTGGTGTGGTTAAGAGCACTGGCTTGGGAGATGACAGTGCTGGGTGCAAATCCTAGCCTGCCACTCCTAGTGCAAGGTAGACAACTTCCCTGAGTCTCGGTTTTTCCCATCTGTAAAATGAAGAAAATATCCACTCAGAATTGTTGATGACTATATGTGATGATGCAAATAAAGCATATAGCACAGTGTCAGGCATAAAGTAAATGTTAAAAAGAAAAAACCTATACTTAATTTTTTTCTTTTTTTGAGACGGAGTCTCTCTCTGTCATCCAGGCTGGAGTTCAGTGGTGTAATATCGGCTTACTGAAACCTCTGCCTCCCGGGTTCAAGTGATTCTCCTGCCTCAGCCTCCCAAGTAGCTGGGATTACAGGCATCTACCACCACGCCTGGCTAATTTTTGCATTTTTAGTAGAGATGGAGTTTCACCATGTTGGCCAGGCTGGTCTTGAACTCCTGACCTCAGGTAATCCGCATGCCTTGGCCTCCCAAAGTGCTGGGATTGCAGGTGTGAGCCACTGCACCTGGCCAAAAAACTAGATTTTATAACTCAGGCATTACTCCTTTCCCTCTCCAATTTATTAGACTATCAGGTGTCTGGTAGCAGGAACAGAAATGGGCTTACTGGGGCCAATTCACATCATGGAAAACTTCATGAGAATTTTCATTAGACATCAAACCCCTGGTGAATCTGTGTGGCTCTAGAAATCCTTTCGTGGAAGGAGAACTAGTCTTCATGAGCTTGTTTTGAGTACATTTCACTCAAGTTAACTTTCGTCAAATCAGTAAAGATGATGGGTACATGGACGAGACAGTACTCTGAAAAATCAGGGAGCACCAGAGAGGCTTAGAGCTTTCAATAGAAAGAATATCAGCAGTCTTTTGGGGAAATTCTTTCATTTTCTTCAAGAAAAAAAAAAAAAAAAGCCTCAATCATTGGAGGCCGCCATGCTGCTCCCCAGTATTCCGTAATGCCAGTTTTATCTATGGTGCCGTGTGGGGTTAATAGGAGTATCTGAAAGGAATGGCTATTGGCTAAATGAGACAAAATGTCTTATTTGACTCTTAAAATTAACTTGTTAAGTATGTAGATAGCAGGATGTTGACTTAACCACAGACTTTTCATCACCAATTAAATCGATTAAAGTGCAAAACACAATAGCAACACACAAATAACAAAAACAGAAAAGGCAAAAAAAAAAAAAAAAACCCACAAAAAAAACCGAAAAGAAACCAAGGGCAAATTGCATTAAGCTTGTAGGTGAAGGACGTTTTTTTTTGCCAAACAGTAGCCAAATTATCAAATAGCATTTATGATAAAAGTGTTGATAACAAAAGAGTTGAACACTAAATGGTATAACTGCTATGGATTTATAGTTCAGAAGTACAAACAACAGAGTTAGAGTAGATTCTTGGAACAGGAATCAATGTCAGCTGTCTGAGGTGTTTTGAAAGAAGTATTTCTATAGGAAAAAAGAGAAACTTCTCTTCCATCATTGAAAAGTAAGGCTTCCGTTTATGCCTTTTATTCACCTTGGGCTTTTTAAAATTATTCTTTCAGCATTGAATTTGTGTCCTTTTCCTTTGAAAAATAAAAAGAAAACAAGACTGGAATTAATAATCATTAAAAAAGAAAAAGATGGAACCCGAATAATGATGTTTTAAAATGGCAAAAAAGAAAGTATCTGGGAAACAACTATCGCAGCAAGTTAGGAAAACACCATTTTTTCTTTATTAGTATATGAAGAAATAAAAGATGATTATTAAGAAAAACTATTATATGTTATAAATGGCAAACAGTCCTTTCGGCCTGGACATCTGGAGGCTGAAAAGCAGCCCACTTCTGCTGTGATTTCTGCCAGGGTGTTGGTAGCAAATGTCTCTCAATGAGTATAGAAAATAATGACTTGCCAAGGCACAGAGAACTTGCTCAGGAAGCCAAGTGATTTTTTGGAAAGTATCAGGAAGGAGAATCTGAATGTCAAATGCTCAGTAAATAACTGTGATATGAATAATATAAAATAACTTGTAGAAATAAGACAGTGTATCAGCCAGCGTTTTCTGTGGATCTTGCTAGTAACATGTATTTTTTTTTTTTTTTTTTGAGGCAGAGTCTTGCTCTGTTGCCCAGGCTGGAGTACAGTGGTGGGATCTCGTCTCACTGCAAGCTCCGCCTCCTGGGTTCATGCTATTCTCCTGCCTCAGCCTCCTGAGTAGCTGGGACTACAGGCGTCCACCACTACGCCCGGCTAATTTTTTGTGTTTTTAGTAGAGACACGGTTTCACCGTGTTAGCCAGGATGGTCTCTATCTCCGGACCTCGTGATCCGCCCTCCTCGGCCTCCCAAAGTGCAGGGATTACAGGCGTGAGCCACCGCGCCCGGCAGTGACATGTATTCTTTTGAAAACCAAGGTATGCTTTACATAGAGGAAAACTCATACTCCTTTTTAAAAAAAGTGTACAGTTCTGCAAGTTTTTTGTTTTTACTTTTTTTTTTTTTTTTTTTTAAAGACAGGGTCTCGCTCTGCCACTCATGCTGGAGTACAGTGGTGTGATCTTGGCTCATTGCAGCCTTCACCTCCTGGGCTCAAATGATCCTCCCCCCTCAACCTCCTGAGTAGCTGGGACTACAGGCATGTGCTACCATGGTCGGCTAATTTTTTGTATTTTTGTAAAGACAGAGTTTTGCCATGTTGCCCAGGCTGATCTTGAACTCCTGGGGTCAAGCGATCTGCCTGCCTCAGCATCCCAAAGTGCTGGGACTTCAGGCAGGAGCCACTGCAAGCAGCCTGCAAGTTTTTACACATGTATGCAGCCATGTTTCTCCACATCCTTATCAACACATGCCACTTTTTTTTAATAGCCAACCTAGTGGTTGTGAAGTGATATCTTGTGATTAGTTTTTACAAGTTTATTGAGACATAATTTACGTACCATAAAACTTAGCCATTTTAAAGTGTATAATTCAATGGTTTTTAATATATTCAGAGTTGTGCAGGCTTCATAATTTAGGTTTAGAGCTTATTAATCATCCCCAAAAGAAACCCATACCCACTGGCAGTCACTCCGCATTTTCCCCCAACCTCCCCAATCCTAGGCAACTATTAATATTAACCTATTATATGTCTCTATAGATTTGCCTGTTCTGTGCACTTCATATAAATGAAATCATATGATATGTGTCCTTTTATGACTGGCTTTTTTTCACTTAGCATAATATTTTAGAGTTTCATGTTGTAGCAAGTATTGGTACTTTATTTCTTTTTACTGTGTAATATTCCATTGTATGGATATACCGTATTTTGCTTATCCATTCATCAGTTGATGGATATTTGGGTTGTTTTCACTTTTTGGTAATTATGAATAATGCTATTTTGAACATTTGTGTACAAGTGTTTGTGGACGTATGTTTTCATTTCTCTTAAGTCTATTCCTAGGAGTGGAATTGCTAGATCATATGGTAACTCTATATTTAATGTTTTGTGGAACTGCCAAACTATTTCCCAAAGTGGATGCACTGTTTTACATTCCTACCAGCAGTATGTAAGGATTCGAATTTCTATACATCCTCATCAACACTTGTTAGGTTCTGTCTTTTTTATTATACCCATCCTAGTGGGTGTAAAGTGGTATCTTGTTATGGTTTTGATTTACACTTCTTTAATCAATAATGATGTTGAGCATATTTTCTTGTGCTTTTTAGGCATCTGCGTATCTTTTTCGGTGAAATATCTGTTCAGATCTTTAAAATTAGGATACTTGAAGATGCTTGCCTTCCTATTACAGAGCTTTAAGCTTATATCTTGGATACAAGTGCTTTATCAGATATATATGATTTGCAAATATTTTCTTCCAGCCTGTGGTTTTTCTTTTCCTTTTTAATGGTGTTTCCTGAAGAGCAAAAGTTTTAATTTTGATGAAATCTAATCAATGTTCTTGCTTTCGTGGATCATGCTTTGGTATTGTATCCATGAACTCTTTGCCTGGCTTATGGTCATACAGATTTTTTTTTTTCTGTCCTCTAGAAGTTTGATAGCTTTACCTCTTATACTTAAAACTACGATCCACTTTCAGTTAAATTTTATGTAAAATATGAGGTAAGGATCTAAGTTTATTTATTTTGGCATATGGAAATCCAATTATTCCAGCACCATTTGTTGAAAAGTCTATTCACGTATGTTCTCAGTGTATATTTCCTTATTTCAAATTGCTATATTTTATTTATGTTGCCAAGTATAATAATTTTAGGATTATATTAAACAAAGGATACAAGTGGGAAGTTTGGGATTTATGTAGTTTATAAGAGAGGTTAAAAGTATGATTTTTGGAGTTGCAGAGTCCTGGGTTAAAATCTTAGTTCTACCTATGTGATTTTGGGTAATCTTACCAGCTTTAAGCTTAACTTCTTTATCTGTGAACTGTGGATCATAATAGTACCTCCTTCATAGGCTTTGAACCTATGTATAGGGTTACTGTCAAGATTATAAAGACAAAGGGATGTGAACTGCTGGGTGTGTAGTACATACTCAATTATCAATGGTTACCACTATTATCTTTGAAAATGTGAAACCCTTGACTCTTACTCTTCATTCATGTTTTTCAATAACGAATACTGAGAGTGTATTCTTGTGATAGACATTATGACTTGTATTGAGTTAAAAATACATAATCATTTATGTAAAGTAAAGCTCAAGGAAGAGGCTAATTTGTCTCCAGATGCTTTCCTAGAGCCAGTTTTGAAAGGCTGGTGAGAATGTGAGGTGAGTGGCTGCTCAAGATAAAGTAAGTACTACTGAAGCAGGCACAATCTTGACATTGCTCCCAGGTCTGGGTTGTCCTGGTGTCCGTCAGGCTGCAGAAGTAAGACGTAGTTAGACTTGCCTGCCTCCACATGGCTGTCCAGAGGCTATGCTGATTCATTTCCAGGCTACAGCCAGAAGACTAGGGAAAGTTAAGTGGATAAATTCCTCTAGTCCTGGAATGCTGACTTGTCTGTGTCACACCCAATACTGTTGTGGCAGTTGCAGAAAGCAAGCACAATGATTAAACACTTGACAATCAGGACTGGAGAAAAACCAGGCAGATGAATGTCACTATCAAAATCTTACCTGGTGGGCCCACCAGACCATCAAGTAAGAGAATACTGCAATCCAGGTAATGGAGCCAAAGAACGTGATGGGAAAAAACTTCCTTGATGACTGAAAGACAACCAGGAAGAGTTCAGAATATTAGTGTTATCCGTTGAGACTGATCTGGAAATCCAAAGCTAAAGCCACCATTGTAGCTATTTCTCTAGCATTTCCTGCATCTTAGTAGGATTGGCGATCAAAAGGCCCTACTCATTCCTGATCAAGCTGGGACAGTAAGATTCTTCCTTGGAAATACGAAATTGATAGGAACTGAATGATCACAGTGCTGGTTCCTGAGATGGAAGTCTTGGAGAGAATGTCTGTTAGTTCCTGCTATTAGATGTTTAGATTCCCTCTGCTCTTGCCCTTTCTAAGGCCTGGATTTTTGGCCGTTCCTCAATATTAACACCATATTCTCCCTCCTCCTTTTTCTTTCTTTTGCTCCAGTGTTTGTCAGAGTCAGTTTCTATTGCTTGCAAACCATGAATCCTAACAATCCATATGCCAGGAAACCTATGGGATTAATTCCATTGAACAAGAAATGGGAAGGATCAGCAGGTTTAAAAATAGATTGACTCATCTTACAGTCCCACCAATTATCAAGAAAGCCACACAGAAGAAGCCACCACCACAGCTTTTATAGATTCTGGATGATGGCCATTCTCCAGGACACTGGAACCACACATGGACCAGAGTAGACAGAGGCAGAAATGCTCAATTGTACTGATTTCCACTGAGATGGCAGATCAGACATTGCTCTCAAGAATGTTTTCTCTCCTGTTCACCACCCCAAAATACATTATGTTCAATTCTGCTTCTAGAAGTAGACTTTATGCTATCCCAGGCACAAAGTGTGAGCACTTTTAAAGTTTCCTAGAAATAGCCAGAAAAATCAGACACTTGAAATGCACTGTTTCTTACCCAGCCCCACTACAGAGAAATCCAGGCTTGCACTGTAGTGGTGTTCTTTTGATGTCCTTTGTTGAAAAATTGGGGTCCTTTAAAAACACACTCAGACAGCACAATGCTGTCAGAGAGCCTCTCGCCTATTATTGCCAAACACTTTTTATTTCAAAGCTTTCCACGTTGAGAAACAATCCCACTTTTTGCTTTGATAATGCCATCCAATTTTATCTAGAGAAATGAATTTTAAAGTTGACTTGTATGAAAGCAATCTCAATTGTTTGAAGGGCTGACCTTGGGCAGTCATATAGAACACATTCTGTCATGGCTTTTGAGAGCTCCATTAAAAGGAAAAGATAAACTCATAACATGGTAATCTTTTGAATATCAATAATGATGAACACAGTCTCTATTGCTCCAAACCAGGCTTACGTTTTCTTTACTAATTTCAAGTTTTTAATATATATTTTTTGTGATCATTTGCATGGTTCCTTTAAATTTTACCCCATCCATTTCTTTAAATGACTGCTGTTTTGTGGGGCCATTTGTTAGCTGGGATGGTTGGAAGACCAAGCAGGTTTGATTAAATCGGGGAAGGGCATCAGGCCACAGTGAGGAGCCAAAACGTTATCCTCAAATGCTTTTCCCTGCCCCCTTTTAGAAGAAAAATATTTTGGACAAGGACTCAGACCCCTCCTGGGGACCTAAGCACTTTAATGGGTAATGGGAAAAAAAAAGTAATTTTTTAAAAAGTGGAGTTGGAGACCTTCACTTTTTTTTTCTTTTTTTTTCCCTCCTGAGACAGAGTTTTACTGTCACCCAGGCTGGAGTGCAGGGGCGTGATCTTGGCCTACTGCAACCTCTGCCTCCTGGGTTCAAGCAATTTTTCCTGCCTTAGCTCCTGAGTAGCTGGGATTACAGGGACCTGCTACCACACTCCGTTAATTTTTTTTTTACTTTTAGTAAAGGCAGGGTTTCACCATGATGGCCAGGCTGGTTTCGAAATCCTGACCTCAGCCTCCCAAAGTGCTACGATTACAGGTGTGAGCCACCGCACCCAGCCATTAGATCTTCATTTATGAAAGCAATTTTTTTTTTTAAAGCTAGGACTCAGCTGGATTCTGAAGACTGAATTCCCTGAGCCAGTGCTAGGAGATCAAGTTTTCCAAGGCATTCAGCTTATTAAATTTCCCATCCTTTGCATCTGGTCACAGTCACTGTTTCAGGATCCTACGTACAATGAGGGTTTCATCTTCCATGGCTGTGCTCTGTTACAGGAAAGAGAAGAGCGCTCTTGCCATGTGGGGTCACATGTGTGATTCGAGCCCCAACCAATGCTTGATTCTGGGCAATGTATGAGGATAATGAAAACCTTTCTACATGCTTTGGCATAAGTACTGGGTGTCCCAGGAGAGTCCTCATTTCATAGATTGCTCGTTTTCCAGGTTAGCTCATTTAATAAATGTATAATTATTATTTCAACTTTGTACCTCTGCCTGGTTGTTCTTTGAGATAACTTCACAAGTCAGAATCAAATCATTTGAACATATTTCTCATCTGAAAAATATCATAACTGAGCTACAGAAAATTCCTAGCCATAAGGTAGAAAGCGAGGTATCAGACAAGGAATTAAAGGAACTAAATTCAAATAAACATACTAGTGACAACCTCTCTAAATTAATATTTGATGCTCAACCTCTCTAAATTAATATTTGATGACAACCTCTCTAAATATTTGGCTCATAATTAAGAAGCCAATTAGTAATTAATGGGCATCAAAACATACCTAATGTTGCATTAGGGGCTCAATGAAAAAGGCTAAAAATAAATTTTCTTTGTGAATTTTCAGAGTCTTCATCATAAGCTAGAGGTAGATAAAGTCTGAGAACTTACTCTGTACCCAGATCCTGAACTAGAGATAAAATTGAAACTAGGTCTGCCTGACTGTACCGCATGTGCTCCCAATATCTAGGTTATACTGACTCTTTCCTAAAGAAAAACAGGGCCAATAATGCTCAAAATATACTCCACCATAGACATAATGATCATGATCATGATCATCATACTAGGCTCTGCTCTGAATGTCAGAAAATAAAAAAAGCATCAGGGAAGTAGAAACTAGCATTCCAGCTGTATGGCCATCTGCCTCGCCCAACCTCCCATGTTGTTCCTGCTTTGGAAGTATCAACCTTCCATGCATCAGCAGTTGGGCTAAGTGTTTCCCAACTGTCAAACTACTTTACCATTTCCATTCTCACAACCCAGGTGATCACTTCTTCTTTCATTTTTTTGGACCATTCTGTTTACTTGGACAGCGTGGTCTCATTCCAGACATCTCTGCTCAGTAGCAACTGTACAGTCATTTAGTTACCAGTGTCATTGGAAGGCAGAAAATAGCCCTTGGAGCCAAGGTCTAACACGACAGTTTATGGTTATAGTAATGGGGGTTCATTCTGACATCTGCTGGGATGGACCTCATACTAATCAGCAAATAAGCAAATTGCATCCATGTGCTGGCCATTTTGTTCCCATGTTGTGGTTTACTTATATAATTGACAGTGGATGCTCTCATTAGAAGCTTTTAGTACATCAGAGTGATATCGGCTTGGCTTGGAAAAAGTTGCTGGACATTAGCTGGTTGTACAAATTAGCTATATCCTTACTGATTTAAATTCAACAAATATTCACTAAGCATCTACTCTGTGTAAGGTTCTGGGACATATATTTAATGAAGATCCACCCCCAAATCCTACTGAAGATTAAAAGTATGGTCTCCGGATTAATATGACTGGTATTGAAATCTCTGCTCACAAATTAACAGCAATGTGACCTGAGACAAATTATTTAATTTCTTTAAGCTTAGGCTTCTTCATCTGTAAAATGGGAGAAAAAACAATCTAGTTATTTTGAGGACTTAATGTACATAAAATGTCTACCAAAGTTCCTCGCACATAAGTGCTCAGATAATTATACTTGTTATTAGACAATACAGTCATGCCCTGGTATCCATGAGGGATTACTTCCACTGCCCCTGAGGATACCAAAATCTGCAGATGCCCAAATCCATTATATGAAATGGAATATTTACATATAACCTTTGTGCCTCATCCCATATACTTTATTTAGTTATGAGACAGACTTTTGCTCTTGTTGCCCAGGCTGGAGTGCAACGGTGCAATCTTAGCTCACTGCAACCTCCGCCTTGTGGGTTCAAGTGATTCTCCTACCTCAGCCTCCCGAATAGCTGGGATTATAGGCAGGCATGTACCACCATGCCCAACTAATTTTTTGTATTTTTAGTAGAGATGGGGTTACTCCATGTTGGTCAGGCTGGTCTTGAACTCCTGACCTCAGGTGATAAGCCTGCTTTGGCCTCCCAAAGTGCTGGGACTACAGGTGTGAGCCACTGCACCTGGCCCCCATATATTTTAAATCAGCTCTAAATTACTTATGAGGCCTAATAAAGTGTAAATGCTATGTAAACAGTTGTTAAATTGTATTGTTTTTATCTGTATCTTTTTACTGTTGTATTAAAATTTTTTTCCTGAATATTTTCAATCTGTGATTGTTTGAATGCAGAACCTGCAGATAAGAAGAATCGACTGTATTATTCTCATTTTAGTTTTTAAGAGATAAAGAAACTGATACTTGGGGAAGTGAACATGACTGTGAAGACCTGGACTAGAGTCTTGGCTTTGCCTCTTTCTAGCTGGGTGTGCTTGAATGAGTCGCCACACCTTTATGAGTCTCAATTACTTTATCCTTGTTAGACCTTGCTTGGCTCATAGTAGACACTCAATAAATACTTGATGAATGAATTAATAGAAATTGCAAACACCTAGCTGGGTTCTCAGGTTCCTTCCTAGTTCTAATGGGTCACGTTTTCATATCTTATTAGATGCATTTTTGTTTTGCAGGAGTATCTATCCTAGTCATGAGAGAAGATAACTTTTTGAATCTTTATTTTGTTTATTTTCAATTTTCATCAAAGACTTAGTCCTCATTGAGGTTTATATTTTAGTTCTTTTACTTTGGAAACAAAGCCATTAATTTAAGAAAACTAAGTGTGAAGCCCATATTATGTGAGCTGAAATTATGCACAGTTCAACAAACACTGTCATACAATTTGCATATAAAGCAGAAATAAAAGCTAGTGGGAATACTAT